CCTCCCGCGCCGCGCCCGCCGCGCCGGGTCCGGGAGCCTCGGATTCGATGCGCTTCGATCCGGATTCGTTTGTCTGAGAACAAAACCCCGATTCTGAGAAAACGAGATGGGATCAGCCGCGGGGGGGACGCCAGTGAACCCGGCGGGGAAGTGGGGCGCGGGGCCCAGGTGTTCCGGGAATGCGACAGAGACGAGGGAGACAGAGACAATGTGGGAGAGGCAGAGACGTGGGCAGCCACGAGAGCGAGGGACACCGACCGACTGTTGAACGGAGAGCGAGACCGAGAGTGACAGAGACACACCGAAGCCGAGTCACAGAAAACCTGGGGAGACGAGACAGAGAGAACGAAGGAGGGACAGAGGAAGACCAGGTCAGAGACACCGAGAGACAGAGGCCACAGAGAAAACCTGGGAGAGACAGGCGCAGTCAGAGACACAGTGATCCACGACAGACAGACCGAGACACCGCCGCTCGGGAGAAAGCCTGCAGAGATCGAGGCACAGGCAGTGACAGGGACACCGAGAGAGAATCTGCAGAGGCGGAGGCGCCCAGCAAGAGGGTCGGGGACCGGGCGACGCACGGAAAACGGCCGGACCCGGGAGCCGAGAGGCGTGTCCCCGCAGGGTCGGACCCAGACCGGGCTCCAGCCCGACGACGGCGCCCGGACAGAGAGCACGAAAGCGCGGCGCCGCCGGGGGCCCCGGACCCGGAGACAAAGCGCGCGACAGCGACGGCAACGGGAAGCGCAGCCCGCGCCCCCGAGACCGAGACGTCGGGCGGAGACACGGCGGAGAGGGCGCAGCCGAGACCGCGGGCGCGGGGTGGGAGCCGCGGGCCCGGCGCNCGCGCGGGGCCAGGGACCGGCCCCTCTTTAACGGCGCGTGGGGGATCCGGGGGCGGAGGCCCGGCCCGCGCCCTGCCCTCCCCCCGGCTGCCACGCGTCTTCACCCTCATCCTCTCGGCCCCTCAGCCCCAGCCCGTCCCCCGGGGTCCGCACGCAGCCCGAGAACGGCGGAGACCGGGCGCCCCGGAATCCGGGCAGGTGTCGGGCGCCGGGGGGCCTTGGGCCACCGCCTGCGACGGGAGGAGGCGAGCTCCTATTTGCAAGTCCAGCTTATTCGTGGCCGGGGCCACGCTGGGGGCGCTGGTCGTTTTGCAGCGTGGAGGTGGGTAAGGACGAGCGTGGGGACCGTGGCACGGCACGGGTTCAAGGCTAGAAGCCAGGTTCTCCCATTGGTCCTTCTACATTTCCTCACTCGAGCCGTAAGCAAGTCTGTCCCCGTCTGCAGTCTTCAGTTTCCTCATCTGTGAAGTAGGAATGATGACCGGTCTTCCTTAAGGATGGGTCGTGAGGATGAGTCGAAGTCGCGCTGGCAAAACACATGCCTGGCATGGCGGAGGGGCTCAGTGGCTCCGCGGAGAGATCCGCGCAAACCCCTTCTCCACGAGCCTCAGTGTGCTCGTCTGGAAATGGTAATCGTGGCCATCCCGCTCTGCGACTTTCCGAGGTCTAATGAGGGCCCGAAGCCACCGCGGGAGCTGGGAGAACAGAGCCCAGGGGCAGGGCACCCCTGCAGGCCTCTGAGCCCTCACCTGGGCCAGGGCGGAGGAAGGGAGCGCCCAGCAGATTTGGGGACAAAGGGGTCCCCTTGCCAGGAAGGGCAGAGCAACTGCTCTGGGTCTGGGGACGTCCAGCGGGCTGCCCCCTTTTTTCAGTTAAAGAAACAGAGCCTAGGGAGGAAGGGCCCTGCTCGCATCCTGCCTCCGCCCCCGCGGGCACCTCGGTCCGAGAGAGTGCTGGGGACTGCGAGGCCAAAAAGCCGCGATCTTCGAGCCGGGAAATACCGCAATTTTGCTTTGGCAGCAACGCAACCGACCGAAAGGCTGAGTCTGCGCCCCGGCCCCGAGGCCGTGGCTTCTGTTGGAGCTGGCGCTTTAGTCCTGCGAGCCGAAGCCCGGGGACCCCCGCGCCGACCACCCTTGTCTTGCTCACCCCGCGGAATGAGGAGCGGAGTCTGCAGACTTGCCGTGCAAGCTCAGGCAAGTCATTTCGCCTTTCTGAGCCTCAGTTTCTCCATATGTAAAATGGAAAAGATCGGCCCACAGAAGGGGTTCTGCCGTTTCTGGGCGATTCCATAGACGAATATTGGTGAGGAGAGAGGAAAGAGACCCAGAGAGCCATAGTCACGGTCCCCCACCCCAAGCCGCTGAGAAACACCACCCTCTGCCTTAGCTGGAGGCGGGGGCTACTCTGCCTCTGAACAGCTTCCCGTCAGCGAGGAGCCCTCAGAAAGTGGAAAGTAAAAGCGTCACCATCTCTGCAGGGGAGTGGAGGGGAACCAAGGGGGAGGCGTGGGCTGGGGCGCCCAGTGGGCTACTCTATGCAGAGCCCACCTGGGGTCTCCTGGACATTGTTGGGAGGACCCAGGCAGTGTGAGCACAAGTCTGGGCTGGGGGCCCAGGTGGGGTGGTGGACTGAGCTCTGAGCCAGCTTTTCCCTTCTCTCTTCATCTCGACCCCCCTCTTCCCCAGGGGTTCTATATCACAGGTTGGGCTCCGTTGCACCCCCCCCCCCACCGCAGCCCTAGGTTCCAGCCCAACATGAGGGGAATCACCACCCATCACCCACCTACCCAGGGAGGCAAACATAGACCTGGCCCTGCCACAGAAGCTGGACTGACAGATGGACATGGAGACAGACATGCGGATACACACCGAGACTCAGACATCCACAGAGACGACACAGACACGCAGGCAGGGAGACCCAGAGACCCAAAGACAGGTCCAGAGACCCATGGACACACTCACAGACTGCTAGGCTCGGACCAACACACCCCCGTAAACACCCAGCCACCAATAGGCAGCGGGGCATCCGCAGACCCCCATAGGGCCCTTCGCCATGGGCCTAGCTCCTCCCGTCAGCTGCCCAGGGAAGAAGAGGGGGTAGCATGGTGGGAGAGCAGGTCTGGGGAGACCCTGGCCCCTTCCCTGCCCAGAGCAGTGAGCACCAGTCACTCAGCAGAGCAGGCAGTGGCCGGCCCAGGCCTCAGGGAGGCACTGAGGAGGGAGGCTGGCCATTAGAGGCCTGGGCCCAGGCCCTCACTTACGGAGCGGAAGGAGAGCTCTCACGCCGGATGAGGGTGGACAGTGGGCACCGGGGGTCCAGGGGCAGGCTCCGGTGGCCCAGGTGGGGCAGTGGCGACCGTGGGCACACAGGAACTCCTTCACACTACAGCGGGCGGCAGGCGGACAGCAGGCTGGCCCTGTCCGTCCGTCCTCCTCCTCCTCCCCGCCCTTTGGGGGGGGCCACCGGAGGCCCAATTGGTCTCTGCCCCCACGTGACTCCGCAGGCCTCTCTCCTTCTTTGTTGGTGTTTCTCTTCATTTAGGTCTATTTTTTTTTTTCTTCTCCTAAAAGAAAAAAAATACCCCTATCTATCTGGGGGCCGCGGGTGGGGGCGGAGGCCAAGGCACTCTGGAGGCCTTGGCCAGCTGGCTGTTCCAGGCCGCTGTGGGAGCCCAGAGGCAGGGACCCCACGTAGGCGGGTAGGCAGCCCCGCTTGTTAGCGACTGGGTGGGAGTGGGACCAGATTTATGGGCTGCTCCCCCACCCGGCCTGCAGCCTGGCCTCTCTCCCCTTGAATGGCTACCTCCCTGGGGCCTGGCCCTGCGTGGTCCATCTTGGCCCAGACATGGGAGTGGAGTCAGGATAGGCTGGTGCAGAGGCAGGGGCACGGACTACTTGACCAGGTGGCCTGCTGTTGTGGACTTGTCTTTTTTACTCTTCCATAAGGTAAGGAAAGAAAGGAAGGGGATGGGGGGAACAGAAGGTGAGCAGGTGAGCTGGCTGAACATTTCATGGATGCATTCAACATCGGCTTCTTTGAATGTCACCATCTACTGTGGGCTGCTGATATTCCCAGTCGATAGCTGGAAAAACTGAGGCTGGGCTGAGACTGTCTCTGGGGCCAAGTAGTTGGCTACAGCAGTCCCAGTTTGGACCAAGTGGGTAGCTAGGCCAGGATAGGGCAAGGTAGATGGAAGTGGGTTTTATTTAGAAGGCCAGGCCTTCCCAAGCAGCCTGGGATATGTCCCTGATCAATCCCTAGGCCCAGACAGGTCCCGAATGATCCTGGTCCTGCAGGACCCAGGTTGCTGTGCCCTGTGCCCCTCCCACACATATGTGCTCTTTGGTGCCTTCCTTGGTTCGTCTCACGTGTACTGATTGCTCCCTAGGTGTCATGCACTGTTCCTGGCACTGGGGATTCCACACGATGACAAGGGAAGAGGATTTACCTCCGAGTCATTCATCCTGGGGATGGAGTGGGGCACAGGGGGATGATGGGGCAATCATTATTGAGAATCACCACCCAATACACACACACATATCTGTTCATTTGAGGAAATAGACAAATCATGTAAAACACTCACTTATCTAGCTTGGGATGAGAGGGATTTTTCTGGATAACTGAAGCCAATTATACAGGTATTTAAAAACTAGTGTGTTTTTTCCTCATTATGCCACTTAATTTTTTTGTGAACATACAACACTATTTTACTGACAATCATAACTGATTCTACTGATCAAATATATTCTAATTGTACCTACAACATAACATACAGCTTATTCCCCAAAGTACACAATTCTCTTTCACCTATAGAAATTCTTACAAGATTCACTTCTCTTGCATATGGCTGAACCTAACTAGTCTCCCCATTTTATTTTATTTTATTTCATTATTCTTATTTTAGTGTCCCCATTTTTTTTTTCCCCCGTATCCGGCAACGGATCGCAACCCTCAGTGTTGCGCCCGTACCGGACCGGGACCAGCAACGGGATCGCAACCCTCGGTGTCGCGCCCACACCTCGCTCAGCCAGTGAGTGGGAACCGGTCTGTATGTGGGATCCGAACCCTCAGCGGGAGTGCCGCCGCGCTTCCCAAGCGGCACACTGTAGCAGTGCGCCACCGGGCCAGCCCTAGTGTCCCCATTTTAATGCAACAGTTTTGTTTCTGGATGGTCTGTATGTGGGATCCGAACGTATCCGGCAACGGATCGCAACCCTCAGTGTTGCGCCCGTACCGGACCGGGACCAGCAACGGGATCGCAACCCTCGGTGTCGCGCCCACACCTCGCTCAGCCAGTGAGTGGGAACCGGTCTGTATGTGGGATCCGAACCCTCAGCGGGAGTGCCGCCGCGCTTCCCAAGCGGCACACTGTAGCAGTGCGCCACCGGGCCAGCCCTAGTGTCCCCATTTTAATGCAACAGTTTTGTTTCTGGATGAATACCACTCATCCTCTGAATTTAATAAAGGAATGTCCTAGCAAATACCGTGTCACCAATGTGTCACATACCTTTAGCAACAACAGAATCATGTTTCTTTGCACCTCTTTTGATGGGAGACTTTGTGGAATTAGGTCCACTTTTCCTGCCTTCTGAAACAGAACAAACAGGGTCTTTTAACACTGGCCTGGCTTTACCATCGTCTTCTGGTGAGTCCTTGAGCCCTGAGGAGAATTGCTCGCAAAGACTCTGGATTAAATCCCAGTATTGCCACTTTCTAGCTGTGTGACCTAGGACCAGTCACTTCCCCTCTCTGGGCCTTACGTCTTCTCTGCAAAATGGGGATGGAATGAGACAATACATGTAACATACTCAGTGGCTACCTGCTATGTCATGTGTGCTCAATAAATGTTAGCAAAACACAAACAAACTGAAGGACTGGCTGGCCTGCCCTTAGGGGCCCTTTCTATGTTGAGTCTGAGATTGCAACATCAACATGAACATTGTTTGCCCTTCTGTGATAGAATGACTCACCCCAGCCTGGGGAACCCTCAAGAAAAGGCGTGATTTATCTCCGGAGCCTCAGCAGCCAGCACAGAGCAAACGTCAGTGAGTGTTTGTTGAATGACTGCTTGTCCCTGCACCCGCTTCCTGTAGGCATAGAGCTCTGCTGCCTGCTCCTCCTGTCCTGTCTCCTTCTCTGTAGGTGTCAGCTGTCACTTGTCACCACGTAGGCTGGGTGCTCCTCATCCCCTAATCAACCCTGGACTTGTTAACCAATACCCCCTTCCTTGGTGCTGCCCCTCTCCCACCTTCACCCGTACTGGATACTCCATGGGGGTGGGGTTGGGCCAGGGGTCACCAGCCTGCTGGGAATGGTGAGGCCCTAACTCAAAAGTGCTCCCTATGTGCCAGGCCCCCTACTACTTCACACCTGCAGTCAGTCTCAAACCCTATCCACCATCCTGAGAAGTAGGTAGCATTTTCACTTCACCTGCAAGTGTAGCATTTGAAAGATAAGGAAACTCAGGGCTCAGAGAGATAGGCGTCTTCCCAAAGTCACAAAGCAAAGGTATGATGGGACCAGCATTCAAATCCAGGCAGTGGGTGTCCAGGGCCTGGGCTTGTAGGCACAGACTCCTGTCTACTCTGCCAGAGCCCCTGGGTGGCCTATTTGTCCTTTCCTTCAAGCTCCAGCCCAGGTGGTCCCAGGCTGTGAGACCCACCCGGAGGGGAAGGAGAAGGGGTGTAGGCCTGACTCAGGCTTCTCCCTCTTTCCCTCCCCAGGCAAACAAAGCCCAGGGTCTCTCTCCTAAGTGGGGACTTTCCCAAAGTGGCAGGCCTATTTCCTGGAGGTGGGATAAGGAACAAACAAACCAGAGACCCAGAAACTGAAATGGAGAGGAGAGGGACAGAATCATTGGACTATAGTTGGGGTACAGTGTAAAAGACAGCAGGAAGAAGAGAGACGCTACAGAGAGACAGAGGCAGAAAATGAGAAAGGACTATAGTTGGGGTACAGTGTAAAAGACAGCAGGAAGAAGAGAGACGCTACAGAGAGACAAGAGGCAGAAAATGAGAAAAGAGGCAGAAAATGAGAAAAGAGAGAGAAAAGGGAGATCCATTGATAGCAAAACGGACCCAGAGATGGGTGGGGGCGGAGGGGCATGGATGAGAGAGAAATCCAGAGAGAGAGAAGGAATGAGAGAGAGAAGGGATGAAAGAGAAATTCAGAGAGAGAGGGAGAGAGAGACTGAGGCAGAGAACAAGAAGCGAGAGGGGCAGGGGCCCAGAAAGCTGGAGGCAGAGGAGTGTGGATGTGAAGACCCCGTGCAGGGCAGCAGAGGGGGCGGGCCTGCTGGCAGCAGCAGAGGCTGTTTCCGCTGCACCCCTTATCAGCCTGCTGCCAGATGTTCAGATCCGATGCCAATGTCAGAGAAGTCCATAGTGCTGGGTCAAGGCCGTGGCCAGCGGGAGCCTCAGCTGCAGTGTGGGGAGGGGGGCTGGGGCTGCAATAGACCTGCTCACTCATTCTTCCCCCTCCCCCTAGTGGCTCTCCGGGCTGGACCACCTGGTGGTGGGAGAGACCAGGTGCCTTCTGGGGCCACTTCTCTAGTCTGAGAGCAGGGACTTGTGGAGGTAGAATGGGGCTCCTGGCAACATATGGACATGTACATCTTCGCACACCCCCACATTTGAGGAAGCACATGGACACATGTATGCAGACACACACTTGCACATATGAGTGCACAATGACACATTGGGACAACTCACAGAGTCCAGTGCAGAGCTGCCCACTATGGCACCCCTCAGCCTGCCGGAGCCCCTGCTCTCCATGATCAGCTTAGTGCCCCCCTCAACCCCCTCACCTGAGCCAGGACTGCAGCCAGAGCTGGAGAATCAAGGTAAGAGCCTTTTTGTAACTGGCGCGGTTCCTAAGGCCCACCCTGTTCTTCTGTGAAGGGGACACTTTCAGAATCTGCACACCCTCAAGGGCTGGGCCAAGGGGACCTTCTAGAACATGAGGCCTGGTGGAGCCTCAGGAGGAGATGCAGGAGCTGGTGTCTCGCAGGGCTGGGCTCCAGCCTTGGGCCCAGCCTCTCTCCACCATGCTCCTGGAGCGTGCAGCGCAGCTGGGGCCCCCTGCCTGGGGTTGCTTATCTCATGGTGCACACGCTTGGCCCTCAAAGGGTGACCCAGCCTTGCTCCCCACATTCCTCTTCAGCCACGCAGCCAGTGGGCCCCCCACAGCCCTGAGACAGGGCCTGTGCTTGGGGGGTGGTCAGAAGCCACCACTCAGAGCCTTCCCCTGCTCTTTTGGCCCCAGCCCTCTGCAGACACTTCTGGTATCTCTTTGCTTGTCTCTCTGCTGTTGTCTCTGAACATCTGCTCTTGTCTCTGTCACGATGAATCACTATTTTTGCCTCAGTCTCCCTTTCAGAATGTCCCAGTTTGTTTCTCTCTGCTACTTTCAGCCTCTTAGTCTGTTTCTCTTTGCTCTCTCTGGGGTC